GAACACGGTTAGAGATGGATGAGGAGGAGCTGCTGAAACCGAGATTGGTCGAGGAATCTCAATCAACAGACGAAGATAAGCCGATGTCAAGTGGAGAATTTCGGATCAGTCGCAAGCCGACCAATGCAACCACATAGGTCCTGCTCAGTTTGTCACCACCGCTGATAGAAAAACTCACACACCACCAAAGACAAGCAAGGGTTAATAAAGCCCACTTCATTCTCGAAAAGATAGTCAAGAATTGGGCTAAAGGCAAGAAATTCCTTGCGGGGATCGCTTAAAAAACGGAGAACCTGGTGGCGTTTCAGCGCTCTCAGGCAAAGCGCAATCGTTCACAGGAAGTGAGCGAGAACGTACCTAAAAGGGGGTGGGACCCACAGGGTAAGCCCTGTCAACAATCTTCGTCATTAAGTCGAACAAGTTCAGTGAGGTGGCCAGAGAAAGGCTGAATATGGCTCTGGTTGATGAACTTCACAAGGGCCGTCTGCTGTCGGAGAAGTTTGCCAACATGGTAACCGACAAGTTGGTTAACATGTTATCCTCTCAAGTTGTAATATTGTTTTTGCTCAAACAGCAGTTTGTTTTTTAAAGTTAGCGAATGCTAAATTGTCTTTTATCTATTCAACTGCTAGTTTAGTACCAAAATAAAGTGAGCAATTTACATAAATTTATTTTCAAGAGGGGTTGCCAGTTCTCGTGCAGTTTCAATTCCGGTGGTCTCAAAGGTTGCGTTTACCAAAACAATTAGTAATGCATCACTAATCAGTGATCAAATGAACAATCATGATAGACACATTGCGCTAATATTAAAATAAAATTCAAATAATTTAAGTATTTTCGTTTGAAAAATCTTCTCTTTAAACTGAAGACTGAAGAAGAAATCACAAATAAAGATTTCATATAAAACGATAAATAAACAGAAGACAAACTATGGGAACAAATATTCGAAGACTGATAAAAATCTTGTTTATATATTTTAAACGGAGTATTTAATTGGCGATTGAGGTCCCGTTTAATACGTATTTTAAATTCTCATTCATTTTGTGTTAATCTATTAAAAGGCAAAAAGTGCGTATTTAAAATTAACAAGAAAGGAGCTAACTTCGGCAGACCGAAGTTTGTATACTCTTGCAGATTGCAACTAGATAATGAATAATATATTATATATTATATATGTATATGTATATGTATATTGATGTTAAAAATCAAGGATGTTCTGCCCAAATTCGCTACATTTAACTATACATACTATATATTTACAATTTATGCCAGGTATATGGTATAGTAGTCCGATATGTAGAAATTAAAAACAGAAATTCTAAAATAATACAAAATAGGCATGTTTTGAATTTTATAACATACAAGTACATACATATGTATGTATGTTGAAAACTTGCCATATTGTAATTTTTTTTATTTTTAATTTCACGATCGTTCCTATGGAAGCTATAAGATATAGTGGTCCGTTCCGACTGATGTACTTATATGTACGTACATATATACTAGTGGGAAAATATAGTAGACTACCTCTAGTTTTATTTAGGTAGTTTTAAGAATAATCGGACAGATGGACAGAATGACAAATGTGCAAAGCCAGTTCGACTCGGCTGTTGATGCTAATAAAAAATATATGTACATATATACATACTATATAGGGTCGATCATTTTAATTATGTATATGGTCGGAAACCACGCTGTATAAATACCAAATATGGTGTTTTTTCTAAGCAATTAAGTTTATATAGTTTCAATTATTATAAATATGTATGTTTTTATGGATTTATTCAAATCATATATTATAAAAGTTTACTTACTTTCAACATGCATTTTTATGGGTTTAATGTGTTATGACTAATCGATTTTACGCAAGAATATAGCTGAACAGATTACCAAATAGAATAAAAATTCACAAACGCAAACATTGGCTGAGCTGACCATATCCAGATATTTTCGGATTGGCGTGACGAATGAAATTCAGATAATGTCAACAAATGTTGTTTATCTGCTTGGTTATTTTGAAGCATACATACATATGTACATACTTTTTATGTTTACAGAAATTTTTAGGAATAAGTTTCTTAACTTATCTCTTAAACTCAGAGCTCGCAAATAACTGTCGACCGTTTCTCGTTGTCTGCAAATAAGTGTCTTTTCCTGACACTTTACGAAAAAACTCAGAGAGCAACCGAAATAAGGGTGGTTAAATGAGCTCGCTCGCGCTCAGAGCGAAACCGTTTTTTTTAATTCTGTTTTGTTCTGGTTGTTCAAAGACCGTTTTGTCGTGTTCAGTGAAGCAAAAAGTCTTTTGCATATGTATTGGTATACACTCACACGCATAGGCAAGCAAGTCGTTAAGCGTCTGTATTGCGATCGTGAATTGAGTGTGTGTGAGTAAATGCAAAGACCGTTTGCGTTGAGTTTTTCGGTCAATCGGTCTTTTGCTGACTCTCATTGTGCGAGCGTTTCTCGTTTCGCTCTTTAGGCAATGCTCATTGAAAGAGCGACACACAAAGATCTCAACGAAAAACGTTCAACAGAAAACCTAAAAGAATACAGCAAGAGTCTCTTGCTCAGAGCGAGAGCGAGAGAGTATGAACTTTTTCGGTTGTGCTCGCAACGAGAGCGCAAGAAAAAAATCGGTCGACAGTTATTTGCGAGCTCTGCTTAAACTTAAATGGGAACGGAGTACTTGATTTAGTTGTTTATTTGAAAGGAATCGAGTTGTAAATTGCCCTTCAAATGTATTAACACAAATTGGTAAATGCTAAAAAAACCAAATCAAATACTAATCTTATTTATGCTTCTTTTAATTAAATTACAAGTACAATTAAAAAAAAAAATAGTAAAAACGTATTATGATAACAAATATACTTTGTTCATAGTATGACAAACAAGAAAGAAAGCTAACTTCGGCTCTGCTTGCAAATTGCAATTTTATCATTAAAAATAGTATACAAAATAGGTGGCTCACAGCTTATTTCGTGCAAACGTAAACTTAAAATTCAAACTCGTATATTTAACGAACTGTAAGAGATATCAACAAAATTGTAATGCAGTTTTGTTAAGTAGGATTTAGGCATTTATTCAGACGATTCATTATTTTTAAATACCATTAGATAACGCTAACTAAATAAAAAAATACTTACTTTTTTATGTCACAGCTTATTTTATGCAAGTAACTTGATCTAAAATAATAATTATAATAATAAACTTAATATTTTGTGTGGCCTCCATATTGCTTAATTACATCCTTCAAACGAGTTTCCACTGAAGAAACCAATTTTTCTGTTGATTCCTTTGGAATCTTGGACCATTCTTCCAAGAGGCCTGTTTTAAGCTCATTTCGGTTGGGTATCGTGCTCTTGAGGATACCAAGATCCAAAATTGACCACAAATTCTCAATGACATTAAGGTCAGCAGACTAGGCAGGTGTATCCATTAAGTGAGGGCAGTTCCATTGGATCCAGATCTGCAGAAAATCTAATTTTTGCTGTGGGTCATTATCCTGGTAAAATCGCCTTCTTTCCATATCTGTAAAAGTTTTATTCCCAGCATTTTAACCTTTATCTGCTAACAGATTTTCTCGGTCGAAGCATTGGATGATATATTGGACAGTAATAGACCTTCAGCAAAATTATGTTTAGTTCTTTCATTTTTAAAGTGATTTAGGAACAATTTGCTCTGTTCCATGGGTGTACGCTGGCTCATTTTGGTAAATCAAAGAAAACTTTTTTTCAGTGTAACCAAACCCAAAAAAGTTATAAATATATAAGCTGATATCTTCTCCATTGAATTGCAACAAGAAAAAGTTATTTAACAAATTACAAATTTAGTGTATTTAAAGTTCTTGCACGAAATAAGCTGTGACATGAAAAAAGTCGGTATTTTTAGTTTTTTTTTTTTAGATTATCTTAATAAATGCCTAACTCCTACTTAACAAAACTACATTAAATTTTTTTTATATCTCGTTCCTTTTGTTAGCTATACGAATTTGAATTTCAAGTTTACCTCTGCACTGTGAGCCACTGGTATGTACATACATATGTATATTTTTTGAACCGATTGCATCCCGTGTTTAAATTTCAGGATTATACTTCATTAATCAGAATCTTATTAACCATGATAATACTTTTTTCCAGTTTAGTGCTTTAATCTGTATCTCAGACTTTTGACAATATATCAAAAAAAGGGCCGTTAAATGGGTCAACAGCAAAAAATTCTAAAATTCAAAAATATTATGTATGCATGTATGTACGTCTTTACTCTATTAAGCTTTGTTCTAAATATTTGGAAAAAAAACAACAATCTTTTGACCCATTGTATCTATATCTGCTTTATCTCAATAAACGTTCGGTGAGGATACGAGTATATATGTAAATATGTATATACATATGTACATATATAAGTATATAAACTTAAAAAAACATACATTTTGTACACCTCCATTAAAATATTCAACTGACCGAAATCAATGGATTTTCAAATTGATCGAAAAAATTTAATTGTAAAATGAAATATTATAAAATAAAAACTATACATACATAATTTTCTTTAGTTATCCCACTATCTGATTGTGAACGGCACACAACCAGATATATTTGGATATATGGATGAGTACAGACATAAATACCTACACTTGAATAGATAAATACCTATGGATATACATATGTATGTATGTACATACATACAGATATATAGACAATTTTTATGCATTGGGTCATCTATGTACATATGTAAAAGCTCTGATATAATAAATACATTTGTATATATTTTTGTATTTGTGTAGATTTTTGTATGCTTGGTAAATATATATACATATATATTTATAATGTCATGTCTTAGCCAAACGAAATATTTTGTATGTCATATATCTATAAACCACTAACAGGTACATACCACATTATCATACAAAAGTACATAGATATAAATACACTTATGTATTAAATGTTTTTAGTTACATATGTGTCCACTCGGATCACTATTCTTAAGCAAAAACTTGCCTTGATTGATCTTGTGATGAAAACACTGAAAAGTCGTCATAACCATTACCCAGATGGGTATTTGACCCCTTCACCGGCGTTCCGTTAGTACCGTTAATAATAAGGAAAATCACAAAAGGCACAAAATATATTTGGTTCATTGTTATCGAACAAAGCACTTGGCATACTCGCAAAATTGATTTTTCATTTTTCACGCGCGTCTCTAAGTTTTGAACTTCTTTGAATAGCAAACGTAAAATTTCAAAAAGGTTTGCCAATGTACGAAAAAAGTAGACTAACGAGTAATTCCCAGAACATATAAAACGTTTCTGACATTTATAAATATATTGTTTACTTTTTTCCATACTATGGATGCGCTTAGGGAATTTTTTATTATTGTCGGTTTCGGAACGATTCACAAGCATTTACTGACTCTTTAAAGTTTTATTGTATCTTTGTAATTATGCTGCGTTAAATCGTCGGACTATCGATACTATCGATTGTTATGCCTTTTTTAATATTTGTATAGTTTCGATGTTTTCTTATGGGAATTATTTTGTAACGTAAAAATGTTAATTCTGTTGCATTCGGACGGTGATCGACAGCCGCTGGCGAAACAAATAAAAAAAATGTAAATGTAATGTAATGTAAATAATAAAAAATGTAATGCGCACCGAAGTAGGTTGGCAGAGCCGAAGGGGAAGGACTACCCAGTCGGACTTTTCTGCCAAATTCCTGCCGACTTTTATGCTTACCCGTTCGGTGGGTAGGACGCACCGTTTATGTAAAGTTCTCATTCGCTTTTATTCATGTATGAGCGGGGTAATTCATGATGCCGATGTCGCTGCTCGACTAATGATCAAATTCACCCTTACCGCTCAGTGGGTAATTCATGGTGCCGCGGTCGCTTTTCGGCTCATGATTAAATTCACCATAAGCGGTATAGCTAAAATTCAGGAATAAATTCGATAAAAAAAAATGTTAATAAAGGATCGCCTTTTTTACATGTTGCTTTTTTACATTTTTAAAATTTTTATTCTAGTAAATCCTTGAACCATACTCACAAACTTTTTTTGGAATATTATACGACCAACTGGGGATTGAACCTACGTCTTAACGTTTAACAGTCCGGCCGCTAACAAATCGCGCCACGTAGACAACTAAAATTGAGTCAGCGATATACAGACATGTGCATATCGCGTATGAGAGGGACAAAAACTTGCAACCCCTTTAGGACATTTATTTTTTTACTCTCTTGATATTTGTGTTTGTCTTAGAACATACGCCTTCCAAACAGGCTAGCGCGAGCTCGAATCCCGCAAACTTTATCTTATTTTATTTTATTAATTTTATTAATACAATGACTTTTCTTTTATAAAAATTTGCTTCAGTTAAAGATCGACCAACAAAATTAAAATAAATCTATAACTGTGGTTAAATATGATAAAAAATTATAGTACATAAAAACTACACAAACTCTTGAAAATATAATACTAAATTCATAAATAGGACTATGGATGTATCGATAGGGATGGGAAGGATAGGTAGGCCCAGGGGGGGATGAGGCATGTGAGCGAACCGGGAAATTCGGATGCGAATTAAGAGAAAGGGTTCTTACCCTTTCTCTCGGTCGAGGCAATGAAGGAAAGGAAGAAGTAATGGGAGGTGCTGGAAGGAAAAAACGGAAGTTGAAAATCTGGAGGTAAAAAGGGCGCGAGGACATGATTTTTTGTGGACGTGACCGCGGTGAAGTTGTGTGGATGACGTTTCCCGATAGCCGCCTTACCTTCGCTTTGCCGCCGCCTTACCGTCGCTTTTCCACCGCCTTACCGTCGCTTTGCCGCCGCCGGAGCCGAAGGCCAGAGCCGTCGTAACGCCGCCCAGAGCCGCCGCAGAAGCCCAGAGCGCCGTCAGCTCCGACGCCCGAAGCCGCCAGTGCCTACACCCAGTGAGTCCGTTCAGGCTAAAGGGCGAACACTTGGGTGTTGGCCATATTTTTTGCTTTGGCTATACGGCGCCGCTTTCCAGGCCTCCAACCCCAGAATTGAGGCGATTCTCCTCCGGGAATTTTGAGTCCCCAAAAGAGGCAGCCTTGGCGCAAGCGCATCCCTGGCTGAGGCCACGCTCTCGCCGGGAGTGAGGTGACGCCTGATACACATCACTCACCTGCCATGTTAGATGTAACAGTACAATTTTGTTGGACAGTAATTAAATAGAGGTATGAACATGGAATAGAGTACTTTGCCTGGAGATGAGCCGGTCGCCAGACCGCCTGGTATAGACTCCGGCTCACCGGAGATGGATGATGCCCCTTAAATGACCAGGAGGCATCACAGGATGGAGTGGCGGAAAAACCAATGCCACCCATTCGTCCCAGCAGTATCGTCCGCCTGTATTTGTTTGTTTATTTACCTTTTTTTCTAATTAGTGATGATAGCTTTGTTAGAGATGAGTGTAGTCTGAGACGTCCGATTAGTTTGATGTTCTATTGTGCGGACTGCGGCCATTGGGTCGAACAGAGCCCTAGGCCTCATGAGCTAGCCCGGTGTTGCCCAAGGAAGGCAGTTCCGTAACAATATGGCGCCAAAATTTAAAAACAAATCAAAGGTCACGTCCCGGGGCATCCAGCCCCCGCAATCGGTAGCATGCATGGACTATTGATGGCAATTGCACCGAGGACCGGGGACTGGCGGCCCCGGCGTAAGTGTTGGTCATGTTTCCTTGTTTTCTTTCCCAATAAGGACGGGAGGCTTGCGCCGCAGAAGGACGGACAATTGCTCCTGGACACAGTTCGCAAGGGTTCTGCTGTGACAAGGGGGTGGCATCCGGTCGTGGAAACGACGGATTTGCATACCTCGGCCCACAGATCCGTGCATGAAACACGAGATGAGAACAATTGTGAGATAATTTAGGAGATAGGGATACATGTTGTTATTTAATTAACGCAAATATGTTTGTTTTCCTTGTTAATGTCAATTTGTACAGATCCTTGAGTTTTCCGGGTGGATGAGTCTTCCTGATATCACTGTGCGCTGCACGACCACCGCAATAAGAGCCTCGGAGTCCCAGCACATGTCCTTAACTGGCGACTTTCAACCCAGCTGAAAGTCGGTCCAGTTGACGAATGGCCGGATTAGGGACGACACGGGATAATTGAAGACGCAAGCATCTGGCGCGGAGTCCACCGGCGGTTGATCGGCCATCTCCCCTGGAATTTAGAAAAAAAGAATTATTTATTGATATTGCAGAAACAATTCATTTTCTTACCGACTTGTTATTTATTGTTATTATTTATTTATATAATTGTCTATTTAATTATTTATTTGTTGCATGTTGATTTATTTATTTAGCATAGACATATTTATTTAGTGTGAATAAAGCCGTTAGCTGTTAGGAATTAAGGAAATTGAATGATGGCAGGGGATAAGGGAAATAATTACCAGCTCAGGTCGAAGGGTCCTTCGGTGCAAAGGTATTTCTCGGTGGTACGAACAGCTGTTGGCGAGGATCGGTCGATTATCGGTCGGATCAAGCTACCTCTAGAATACAAAGGAAGGGTAGAGTATATCATATTTTATTTGTGCCAGTACCTGGAGCAGGCGGCATACCTCGGCGTCGATTTTTGGCGAACATTAGACCTGGCTCCGGCTGTAGTTGGAGATTGCTCGATTCAGGGCGTGAAGGCCGAGGAAATTCACGCCAGGGAAATGGAACACTACGCAGACCAGGAGGATGAAGACGAGGAGAAGACGGTCCCCGAATCCTGGACGCTATCCGGAGCCGAGTCCCGGCAGCTGGAGGAAATCAAGCAGGTGTTTCTCGCCTTCGAAATGGACGGCTAGGGTACCACTGGCCTTTAGAAGCACACCATCGAGCTGGTGGAAGGCGCGAAGATTTTCGAAGACCGGCCCTATCCGATGTCTCCGGCAAAGCAGAAGGTGGTCGAGGACGAGGTCGACTAGATGCTAGCCCTGGGAGTCATCGAGGAGACCCTTGGAGCAACCGGACGACAGTAGTATCGAAGCCTGGAAAGGACAGATTCTGCCTAGATTCCAGGAAACTGAACGAAGTGACCGTCAAGGACGCTTACCCCTTTCCTAGTATCGATGGAATCCTGTACAGAATCAATCAAATTCACTTCATCTCCAGTGTGGATTTAAAATTCGCGTTCTGGCATATCGAACTCAACGAGAAAAGCAAGAAATTAACGGTATTCACGGTTCCTGGTCGGCCCCTCTATCAATTCAGGGTGATGCCGTTCGGTCTCTGTAATACGGCACAGAGGTTGGTGAGACTCATAGACCAAGTAATCCCAGCCGAAATCCAATCCAATATGTTCGTCTACTTAGATGATCTGCTCATAATGGCTCCGGACATAAAGACACACTTCCGGTACCTACGACGAGTAGATGAATGCCTAAAGGAAGCTGGATTAACCATCGGTCTGAGCAAATCAAAATTCGGCTTCAAGTCCTTGACTTACTTTGGTTTTGTCGTAAATGGAGGTCGTCTTTGCATGGATCCCGGTCGAGTGGCGGCAATCAGCAGGATGCCGAAGCCGAGGTCGATGAAGGAGGTGCGCGCGTTCCTGGGTACCGATGGCTGGTATTGATGTTTCGTCAGGAACTTCGCGACGCTGGCAGCGCCGCTACAAGTTACAAACAAGTTATCTTTGAGTCCGGAAGCGCAGCTGGCTGTCGAAGCGTTGAAGGTAGCGCTAACCACGGCACTAGTCCTAAAATGGTTGATGTCCATAAAGGATCTTTCGGGGCGCCTGGCCAGGTGGTCTTTGCAGCTCCATAGATTTAACTTCACCATTGAGCACCGGAAAGGCAGCGAGAACGTGGTGGCAGACACGCTTTCGCGATGATTAGAGGAGATTGCTGTGGACCCGACCAATTTCCTGGGTTTTGACCCCACCGAGTTTGCTGGAGATGAGTTATCAGGAGTTAGTCCGAGATATTCTAGGAAACAAGGATAACTTACCGGATCTTAGGATTGAGGACGGGCTCATCTTCAAGCGAAGCGCCCCCGCAACTTTGGACGACGAGTCTGACCCACTGCCTAGTTGAGCGAGCCCATTCAGACCCAAAGGCAGCTCACGGCGGAATGGGAAAAACATTGGAGATTCTTCGGCGGCAGTTCTACTGGCCCGGGATGGTACTGCAGGTGCGGGAATTTGTCTGAAGATGCCAGATTTGCAAGAAGTCGAAGGCACCGAATAACCGGATGATGGTCGGCAAGCGGGTACAGACAGCGGCCATTCCAGAAGCTGTACATCGAATTCCTTGGCAAGTACCCGAGGTCGAAGAAACGACATGCCTGGATTTTTATCGCGGTGGACCACTTTTCCAGGTACACGTTCCTGAAGGCCATAAGGGAAGTGACAGCCTCGAATGTTGTGGATTTCCTTATCAACGAGGTCTTCTACAAGTTCGGGGTTCCAGATATCGTACACTCGGACAATGGAGAACATTTTGC